ATGCGATATCTCGTTTAGGAATAGATTTGGTAAACATGAGACAATTTTGGTATTTTAGATATGTGTGTTATCTACCAACACTTGTATAACTTCTCAAGCATAGTAGAAACTACTTCAAATAATCACACAATAATACTAAATGATTTCAGGTGCAGAACAATTTACGAATATAGGCACGTGCACATAACAGCCATTTATTTAACTTGCAACCTGAATTCAATACATTTCATAAAAATTGAATTGCCAATACTCGATACAATATTCTATCAATACAGCATTACAGTTATGTTCTTTTGATTGATGAGTATCAACCAAGTTCTAAGTAATCTTTTTATAAAAATAAAAATATTTTTCATTTAATTTATTTCCTTCTATCAATCATCTTGTACCTATAAAAGAAATAAATCTAGTGCGAATAAATCAATGGATTTTACAACTTATGTTTACTTACCTACTTTTATTGGATAGTATTTTATTGATAAATGTTTTGTTCATTGTATCTAGTTAAGCGTCTTACACTATAAACTTGTCCGACAAGTGCAAAAATAAATACTTATTATTATTTGTTTAAAACTATTAATATTTATTTACATACTTATTTAAAAATAGCATAGTAGTGCTATAGTAGCTATAGTAGTGCCTAATTATTAATTAATGTTATCCTTAACTTTAATTATTAATAATTTAAAAATGCTGGATTGAACATATTGTATTATGATTTTTCATGCGAGAATAAAAAGCAAAACCTTTTGATTGATGATAAAACTGGTTGTGTTTGAGGGTCGAGAAAAAAGACAAGAAAGTGTACAAGAAGAAATTCATTATTAATCTGAAATGCAACTGCTAGACGCGGTGCAATGAAAAACGCAGTCGCGAACGCCATGCAACGTCGGCCTCTTTTAAATTTTCCACCACTGGAGTTTCGCTCCATTTCATTCACTAATGATTTAGACATGCAACCGGGAACTACTGCGCGCCATTAAAACGCGCGCCCGAGACGCCCGAGACCGTCGCACACGAGTATATACGACGATCGTGTTCTAGTCACTGTAATAGTGAATATTAATCGCACAGAACAAAGATGACAGTTTTAGTGCCTTGCACAATTACAACACGCACAAACAAATCCGACACACGCACGCATTCAGCATACTGGATGCAAGCCGCGTGTTGAAGGTGGAACATGAATTCAAATTGCAAAGCAGCCAAACGCGTACAAATCAATCAATGTTCGAGTATACGGTGTTTGTGAATGCAGTTGGATTCATGCGCGGCGTGATTGGTTGAAAGTCGAAAGGAAAAACGCCAAGAACGTTAAATTAATGGCGGGCGAACAACCGTGAATTGTAAATAGCCGCATGAACAAATCGCCAAGTGCAAATAGCGCAGAGTTGGGGTTATTATTAGGTTACACAATAATATTGCATCAGTCACGTAAATATTTAGCGCCTGTTGCACAAAATATTGTAGCTTTACTTACCTGTTTTAAGAAACAACCACATTTTTTAAAAATACGACTGTCAATTGAAGGTTTTCTTTTACCAACTTATAAACTGTTAAACAAGGTTAAAATGTCAAAAATATCTTAACCTACAAAGCAATGTTTAAATACGTTGACATATTGCAGTTTTAAATGCTAAGCAGTTAATTGAAAGTGTTTCATTGGTTTATTAACGATGAAATATGAACAAATCAGTGAGTGTAGATACGGTGCGCACAGGTAATTTAAACGGAGACATGATGCGTGAATTTTTCACAATCCATCCAATTAATCACCAAGTATTAAAATGTAATTTTTCATAATTTATTTGCATGTGTGGAAACTGAACCAACCAACGGCGGTGAGGTGCACAATGCGATAAAGCGTTGATGTGCGCTCGTTAGTTTTGCGTGGCGGGCCGAGAGATCTATTTGGCAAATTTATTCGATGCGTTGTTAGTTAGTGCACACAGTGTACGCGCGAGAGATCGTTAAGCGCGAAGTTAAGCGACGGAACAGTTGAAGTACGCGGACCGCGAGAGCGTAGCCGTGGCATAGCCGTGGCGGGCATGGCGTGTAAAAGAGCATGCCGAAACCGATCCACCGCCGAGTGCAAACGTCGCCAACGGGCACCACGTCCAGGCCCGACCCAAAACACCACCCAATTAATTAGAGCTCATTTATTTAAACATATTTAACATATTTTGTACGCACAAGCCAAATTTTTGATCAACAAATAATCAAAATGGCGTCCTTGCTGTACCTAAATATATTTACTTTGTGTGTGTTCTAAATAAAACATGAATGTAAAACGATAACGAGTGGAACATTTGTTAATTAGTGCTTTTAATATTCTAGATATAGGTACCTACACATGGGGACACCCCAAGCATTGAATTACGAGTGAACGGCGGCATGAAGAGTTTGTTTTAGTTTTAGTCGAAATGCGCAGAACGACGTTGAGCGCGACGCGTACGCCGGGATGATTGATGTCGCTAATTTGAAACACTCTTGCGCTTCTTGCCGCTCGATGGACAAGACTGCGAGACAGCAAGAGTCGTGCCGCCGCCGCGGCCGTCGATTTTCTACAAGCCATAACGCGCAGCGAATACGAGATGGTAAACGATACGCGAGCGAAGATGCGAGATGCGCCTGGCGCATCACAAGTGACATCAACTCGAAAATCGCTTGCAGCATGACGGAAATGTCAGCTTCAAGCGCGTCTCGAATTCGTTATCTTCTTTTCCGAAATGCGTACTTAATTCTCACCTACTATTAGTGTATCCTTTTAATATATCGTTAGTTAGTTTAAGTCTATATGAGGACTTTTAGTGAAATAATTAAGAAGATATAAGTTATCATATTATTAATGAGAGAAGAAGCGGTACTAGCGCTAAAGAAAAAACTGCTTTTTAGCCTTGCATTTCGGAAATATAACAAATTTTTATCTAAAAGAGAAAGAATTTTTCATAAATACTTTCATTGATTTTTTTTTGCTTGAAAACAAGTTTTGATATTTTATTCAAAAATTATTAATTTAATAATTTAAATTAATTAATCTATTCAATATTTCTTGTGATATTTTTGATCTGCAAATTAAAACTACTTAGGTACTTACTACTTAGGTACTACTTTAAAACGCTAGGTAAAAATCTTTATTTTCAATTTGATAGAACTAGAAGTTTTTTGAGTATTGCTAATCTATGTTTGCAATGCGCACTTATGCATTTCTTTCTTATTTTTTACGTTATTTTCAACAATATTGACATTACAGAAAATTCTTCACCTTCACTACAAATGAGTAATTTACTATTAAGTACATTACAAGTGGAAAATATCTTCAAAATTAATTTAACCCGAACTTCATTGTCGCGGTTAGTCGCGGTACGTACATCACTTTAAAAATCATTCATCATGCCACTCACTCAAATTGCAAAAAGGGGTAATAAGTATCTGTGATAGATACCTATAAATCGGGGATAATATATTATCCTATAGGAATATTAATATTCATGTTTATGCAACTTGTGGGTAGCACATAACCATCCCCGTTTGAAGCATGCGTGCTAGAGAAAATTTCAAGATGGCCGCAACGTTGATTATACCTATCAATGCAACAATAAGTATGTATATTTTATCTAGTCATAGCTAAATATCCTATATCCGATTAGTGGCTATCCTTTTTCCAGTGAATATTACAGATTAGTGACTCATGCGAAGAAAGAAGTTTCATTTCAATCGTGCGTAGCCTTTTTTAACAACTTCCAGCAAGAAGTTTTAAAATTTCTATTATTTTTAGTCATTAGCAGCTCCTAATATTAATTATTTAAAGTAACTACAACTTGCCAAATAACGTTTAAAAACAAAATGAAGTAATAAATCAACTCGACAGTCGTTTACCATATCTTTGCAGTTACGTTATTCCGATTGCCGTACATCTTTTTTAGCAGAGGCGGACTTTTGAAATCATCTATACATTATCAATATTTAATTAATTGCAAAAAATGTATTAGCCGCTAAATATTTACGCACAAATGCTGTCTGAATATATTTTGTATCAGATTATATGGCAACGTAGCTAAGATTCAGACAAGAATTGAATAAATGGTGTAAAAGTGCACTCCTGGTTTGCAACTCCTTCTATTTTTACGAATTCACAGCAGCAGCAGCAAGTCGTAGAGATGACATCCTGTTGTTGCTCCTACATGCGCACAGGCGCAACATAGTTCTATAAATTGCGTCCAGATATGAAGTAGTAATTTGAATACACGGTCAATTTAAATTGAAATGTGCGCTCGCTACAGTTACCCGTTGTCGCCGCAACGCGACATGACAAAAATAATTCTATTACGAAGACTCGCGTAAAGGATTCACGCGGGGAACTACTTTGATAAATTAAAACGGAAGGTTATGTAAACAAATAGTGTAATAGAATGAACACAAAAGAAATACATACAGCTTAGAAACAAAATGAAACTAAAATTTATGACGATTTGTAGCAAATTCTGCTCAAACGTAGTACCATGATGATTTAGATAATGTGAAAACGTGGGCAGAAGAGTTTATAAATTATTTTTCGCTGCTATTGCGGATTATTAATTTTGATCATCATTAGCATCACAATACATAACGTTAAGAAATTAATTTCACTTGGAAACTTAGTTTAGGATAAGAAAAACTTAGTGATAAACTTGAATATTCGTGAGAAAACAACATAAATCATAATGTTTATTTTGATTACATAATAACTGACGTTTTATTGAAAATCTGAAACATAAAGGAGACTTAATTATACCAATCTGTATTTTTCAAAAAGAGAGAAAAGTGTTTAAATTCGCTTCTAATATTTTTCTTAAATTCTTGTTCCAACGTAGGCCACCAAATATACACCAAACATGGTTTCACTAAGTCGGTATAGGCCACACCCAACACATAACTTTATTGTCCTGAGCATATCCAGATCCTATTGATCGCAAACTGTTGTACCAAGGAATACTTCGTAAGCAATGAAGAAAAACGCGTACAATTTAATAAACCAGCTTATCCATGTCAATCAGACTTGATTCGAACAAGGCAAAAGCAGACTTTTGTATATTTTCATACAATTAAATTAAAGTTAATTAATTAAAAACTAAAATTACATTTCTCCGCAGCTATTCTCGGCTGCGTCATTATCATTCTGGTTACCTTCCTTCTTCAAATCATCTTGGAGAACGGTAACCATTGCATTGTCCTGATTATCATGTCTATCGGTCATTGATTTGACACAGTCAGTAGTCTCAGATGAAATATCTTTTATTTCCACATCTTCATGCTCACTGAGTATATTCTCTTTTTGATCTTCATCATCGTGGTTCTCTGCGTCTGATTCTTTATCAGTGTCGTTTTCTGTTGCGTTTTTATTTCTAAAATTCCACTGCATTTTATCTTCTATGACTTTTAGTTCGGCCATAACTTCTTCTTTTCTTTCATCAATCATTGCTAAAATAAAGATAAATATGATATCAATGTTATTAAATAATGATATGGGATAAGTACTTACTTTGTATATTCTTTTTTGATTCTTCTAATGCACTCTTTGCTATATCAGTTATTTTCTTAGGTAGATAATGAATACTTGGTTTGCTTTTAGTTTGTATAAAATTCATTCTAGATTTTTGTAATTCCTCCCATTGTGTGTATGTCTTCATCTTTAGCATTTTCAGTTCAATCATTTTAATTTCGGCTTGCTTTTTCTTACGATTCATAAACAATTCCTGTCGCTCTTTTTTTATTTCTGCTTTTTCGCGGATTTCAATTTCTTCAATTTTCTTTTCCAGTTGTGCTCTTTTTTCTTCCTATAATAAAAACGTTATACTATAGTAATGAATCAGAATCTTTAATAATAACCCCTTACTTTAGGTTTTAATTTTGTTTCTTCCTGCTGAAACTTCTGTAGAGTGCCAAGAAGAGCACCAAACATTCTCCTATTTCTTGCTTTGAACTTTTCATCCCCACTTTGGGCATCTAACGCGTCCTGTCGGCTGGGCACCTCTTTCGGCGTCACAATCACTTTACTTATCATCTGTCTATGTCCTTTAAAGTCACCGTTGTCTTCATCATGATGATATGCCACCCTTTCACTGACCACGCGATCGGAGAGTCGATTAAATACGCCGCCGCGTCGCTTTGTCGGCGGTTCTTCGTTATCATGCGTGAAGACACGTCGGTTTCCACCCAAACCCCATCGGTGTTTATTACCACCCTCTTCATTGTTGCCGACAACCGGTCGTTTGTGGGGATGCCGCTGGCCAGGCGTTATCAGCTCCGAGGGGTCCCTGCCGATTAACCTCTTAATATTCTCATCGACTCCTTTCAAGCTCGTCTTCGCCTGTTCCAGTTCCGATTGTAGAGTACCGAAGGATTTTAATATCTCCGTCGCCATAATATTGTTTTGTTTCTTACGTATTACTAAGATTGTACTTGTGTTTCATTAAAAATACAGGCGAATTTTATTCATTTTGTATCACTATCACCAAAGCGCATACATAAATAGTCGCCATGACACTCTGTAAACATCTGACATCTGGTAGGAGCTTCGAAAACTATTCCAAACTTGCAAAAGAAGTAACTTATGACAATTCAATACGATTAAAATTCAAAACAATTTGACTTTGATTTTAATTGTAAAAAACATCATAGTTTCGGAATCAAAATCATGTCAAAATGACATATTTGAAATTTCAATTTCTTGATTGCTATGCCCATCACAACAAACAATAATTTAGTCACAATCCACACATTTAAAGATCAAGATTATTTAATACGCCTAGATATTTCTTCAAATCGGCTTGAATTAAAAGTATCAGATAAAGAAATTGGCGAAGAATGGAGATGTAGTTATGATCAAATATGTACGCGTAGTTTGTATTCCTATATTATTCTCTAAAATAAACTAAAGTTTAATTTTTAGATATTGAAACTTTAACTACAAAAACTGGAAATTATAAAACATTTGAAGTATTTACAAAGATGTTTATATCTGGGCTATTAAAAGTAAAATAAATATATTTATGTGCAGTAAGTAATTAATTTGGTTTAAAATTTCAGTCAAGTCGTGCGATTACATTAAATTTATTAACATATGAAGAACTGCATCAGTTTCAAAATAGTACAGCTAGTATAAAATCGTATTTTCGAAACAATCTGAGTGAAGCCAGTGAAAATAAAAAGTATTTAATCCTTGGATATACTACTGAATTTGATAAAACATATTATCCCATAACATTGGATCACTGTGGTTCGCCTGATGTAAAAAGTCTGATTGCCACGATACGAAGACTTGAATCTGATCTGTGTAGAACCAGAGAAGAGTATGCTTCTTTTAAAATGCATTGTCATGCAATTAAGCATAAAGCAATTGACGATATGCAGAAAAAGTAAGAATAATATCATGTAATACATACAAAACTTTATAATATGCTTTTAGAATTAAAGAATTGAAGATTGAGAATGAAAAACTTACAAAACAAATTGGTACTAAAAGCAGTACAAAAGTATCTTCAAAAGCAGAATTAGCAAAAACAACATCACTTGAAAACGCGTTGTCAAAACTAGAAAAAAGCGTTATAACTGAACGTAGCAATCATCAAAAGTATATAAATAAACTACTACTAGAGAAAAATAAAATGCAACAAGAAATTGATGCAATGCGGCGAAAAGAAAGCGCATTAAAACAACAACTTAGTCAAAGTAAAAAATCATCAGGTATATCAAGTTTGTCAGAAAGGCAGAGTCGCCAAAGTTCAATACCAAGAAATCGCAGTCAAAAGCTTCCCAATCCACCTACATCAATGTCATATGAAAGAAATAAAGTTTTAAGTCGTTCATCAAGTCAGACATCAAGATGCAGTCGAACATCAAGTGGTTGTGATTCAATTAAAAGCCGTTCAAGTGGTTGTGCAAATATTGTAAACGCCAATAGAAAGTCTAGAAGTACAATTATTCACTGCAGTTCATCACGTGCATCTCAATCTGAGACTAGCTCGATTGCTAGATCAGAAAATATAAAACTCAAGTTGCAATCAACCCAAGAAGATTATAAAGTACTCGAAAAGCGTATTACAGGATTACAGAAACTATTACTATCTAAATCAAAATAGTTACATGTACTTTGTGAATTGTAAAATGAATAATTAAAGTTTAAAAGTCAATTAACTTCTCAAACCAATTGTTATTCACTTTTCGGTAACATAAACACAGTAATATTATTGTTTATTTCACTAATAAATACTAAGTACGCAATAGTTGGGTGTGAAAATGCGTAATTAAGATTTTATCAACATTTTTAAGCTTAAATGCTATTGTATTCTATGAACGTATTGGAATTCGGTACACATTGTTGTACAAGTGATCTATACCTAAATTAACAATACTAGTTTTACGTCTGCCGTCGGAAAACAATTCGTTTTCGACCAAATCGTAAGCACAGGAAACTAATGAATTAGATGTGCTACAATTTCTAGGTGTTTTTTTTGATGGCTGAGATGGTGTATGAACATTTTCTTCAGTTGGTGTAGATGGAATTGGATTCTGTTGAGAGTCTGGGGGAACCGTTTCATCGGCTTTGTGAAATTGCCCTTCTCCTGGATAGAAAGTTGGTGGAGGTGGGGGTGGTGACTCTGGGGGATCATCTCCAGAAGGTGTTTTTAGATTTCCATGGAACTTGAACAACTCGTCCCTCTATAAATGAACAAAATATTAAATTAATACTTTAATTATGAAAATAATCATAAGTTTACGTTACCTAAGTCATAAATGTGTCTCATGAGTTCATTAATTTGTGTTGCTTGTTTCTGTGTGATGAAATATAAATCATGTATGTTTTGCTCAAGCACTTGCTTTTCAGCTTTAGTAGCTGCTTCCTTTTTGGCTTCTTTAGCAGAAGACCTCTGATATTCATTTATCAGAATTAAAGCAGCTATAGTGAAGATAACACCTTCACCCAATAAATTAGCACCTAGTTCAATTGCCTGCTGTTCATTCAGTACAGGAATATTCACAGGTTTGCCCAGATTGAGTATCCACATTTTCATTTTCACCTCAGACCAGTGATACACTGAAAACAATTATATAACACCTTGATTTTTATTTAAATAGTAAATAAACATATAGTAAGCAGTTTTGATTAAATTGATGTAAACAATTATAGTAGCAAATTGATTGGTTTGATTTTGTTTGTGTTCTAGCTTACACTGGGCTGGTGGCATGCAGATATATTTTCGGAAGAACGGCGATGATTTCGCATAGTTCTTGCAAGCTTGTGCTATTGGTTTACTGACTTGTTTGAGCACTAATGCGCCTAACTTTGCCGCTGGAAAGGCCGCCATGCCATTTCAGTGTTAAAAACTATTTTAAACAATTTGTTATTAGACTAGATAGATATAGACTATCTTCACTGCAATGCCTTCTAATGACTAGAATAGTCTTGGAGGTTAAAGCAATATACAGATATTTGGTGGGGCCTGCCAGGTGAATCTGTTCTATTGGAAAACTTAGTTCGTCCTTCTCGAAACTTGATGTCCTTAGTATTTATGTATAAAAGCGTCAAAAACAAATTGTTTTAATATATCAAAGATAAAACATCTACATTTCTAAAGCTCTACTATCTTGTAATTTTAAATTTTAACTATGTATTTTTATACTAACACTGTGCTGGTGGAATACAAATCCACCGACGTACGAAATGATGTTGCACTGCTTGTTTCTTAACCATTTCTGCAATTGGTTTTGTAATTTGCTTTATAAATAATGTTCCTAGCTTTGCCAGAGGAAATAAACCAATAACCATTTTGAGTTTCGATTTTCATGAACAAAATTGATTTGAGTTTGGACAAATGTCAAACTGTCATTTCTGACATTTCTCACCATCAGAAAATTGTCTAAACTAAACATAACCAAACTCATCAATCTTACATGTCATTAACGCCAGGAACAATAAGGTAAAATTAATTCATATTATACAGTTATACATGTAATTTCACAAACAATTAATTGTATAATAATGCATGTCAATATAATTTAATAATATCCCTCGTCTTCATCGCGAATATCTTCCAAATTATGTCGGCTTGAAACAATTCCCAACATATGTTTAGGCACCTCACTACCCCTTACTCTAATGTTGTAACAAACCATCTCCATCTTGGTAAGGCTCTGCTTCAATGTGTACAACTTCCTACCCACTTCCTTATGCCCAGTATTATTTGAGCCCATGAAACCACTCAAGATAAACTTGACAAATCCACAGATCTTGAAACAGGTCTCTACTTGTCCAGAACCAATACTGTTTATGCACTTTCTCATCAATTCCCCAGTAAAATCAGCCAGCCCCAAGATAAACTCCATTTGTGGGAACAAGAATGAGTAATCATCACCTTCTTCAGACTTGTAAGTAAACTTATCATTTATGACATGCCATTGATCAATAGTGTCATCTTTGATGTATTGATAGAAGAGCATTGCTTCAATAAACTCCTGTACACCAGCAGTGTAAGCCCTTAAGAATTGATAATGGTCTTGACCCTTCAATTCATTTGCAATAGACTTGAATTGCCCATCAATTAATTGCTTTAATCTTTTGTCAGCTTCTTGCAGAATGCCAGCTCTTTTACTTTCTCTGAAATTTTAATATGAAATTAATAGATGTCTATTAGTCAGGAATTATTTGTTAAATGAAAATTACATGTCTGTATCTTGATTGTGTAGCAGGAAGATGATTCTTTTGCTCTCAATTGTGATGTCTCTGGAGAGTTTCACAATTCTTTCATATCTGTCATGTTTTTCATCCAGTTGTATAGAGAAGTCTTTGAACATTTTCATTATTGGGTTGGTTTCATCAATTTCTTGTGGCTGTTTTTGGGGTCTGTTTCCATGTTTATTATAGTTTCCTTCAAAATAATCAAAAATATTATTTAAAAAAACCGATGATGATATTGTATTATAAATTCACCTCTTTTCTTCTCCATTGTAATATTTTACAAAAAATGTTTGGTCTCAAAAAATTCTATAAACTTGTTTGTATTCCAAGGTTATGTTTATAGTTATGTTTTCACAATTCTTTCACGTTTGTACGTTGCTGCCATTTATTTAAATTTAAAACTAGTCCATTATCTAAATAGTAATTTAAACAATAAATATAATATATATATGTTTAGTGTTTGATTTATTTGATAAGCTTAAATAATAAAATTGAATTAAATTTATATGCAATTTTAATTAAATTTTTATTTTGTTTTTGAAATACCTAATTGTTTGTTTTTTCTAAACTTCATAAATTTAAATAGTTTGCATTAACTTTTATTGTCTTAATACCTAAAATAAGCTAGATAAGTATTAAATATTAACATTTTTCAGACTGTCATGTTTGAATTGCAACATTGCCATCAAGTGTTCTACATTTCTCTACATCCGTCCTTTCTTTCTGACTTACTACACAAAAACCGCCACAGAGTTGTCGCTGAACTTGTTCACATGCTATTTACGTTGCATTGAATTTTCCTTTATATGGTGACAATTCAAGCACTACGCATAGTTCAAGTGACTCACAAACTGTTAGAGCGCTCAGCAAAGGTACTCGATACGAAGGTAAATTAGCAGTGGCAGTAGATGGGTTGTAGCAACAACACAAGCAACAATGCAGAGCGAGTGAACTCAGTGCTAGATTTTCGTGCGGAAACACAACCAAACCAAAAATCATGACATTTAGTTTACGTCAACACGAAACCCAATCGCGATCAAAAATGTAATCGCTTTTCCAAACGCCATCGATCATCCGCGCTATCAATATGTGACTAGATCGCGAGTGCGGCAAGTATTCATCGAACGGCGAACAGGTGATAAACGCGACCGACATAAAATGTTCAGCAAGAAAATCACGGACATCAAGAAGTCCTCGCTGAAGATCCAGGACCCCAAGAAGGACTTGGCAACGCGTGTCAAGCACCTGAAGGTGATTTTATGTGAGTTCCGACCTTTTGCTACAAAAATTCGAGTCGTTTTCTGTGGCGACGATGGCGCTGCCAAACAAATGTGTTTGAGTGAATGAGCGGAGTGCGCTGCGTATTGTTGCTCGCGTGTATTGTTCACTGTGGGAGTGTGAAGCTCTCAGAGTGTATTGTTGAGGCTATTGTTTGTTTATGTTTTAGTTATTTTTGCCGCAAGGTGTGTTTGTTTGTTTAATCATTGATTTGTTTGTAGATAATTTTGAGCACATTGAAGCCAAAGGGTTCTTTGAGGCCAACTTCAGTCACATTTACCAGATTCTCTATGAATCTTTCGTCCAAGCAGAGCAAAACCTCAGACAGAAAGGTAAGTTTTTAAATTTACTGCTTATCATATCATGTAGTTGGGCACTTGTCATTATTTAGTTAGTTTACATTGTGACAACACATTCAGTTGCTTGCTATGAGCACTTGTAGTTTATTTGATGGGAGATAAAGCTAATTATCATTAAATGGTGATATATTTTTCTCATTTTGAACTGAAAATGATTGATTTATACATTTATTTGTTATCAGATGTTTAAAATAAAACTAAAACTACAAACTGAATTTGGTAATCATAGGTTTGTTACTTGAAAACGAGGAAAAAGTCGATGACATTGCCCAAAACTCCTAAACACAAGTTTTAAAGTCTATTTCCTGCTTACTTCTAGTGTGGTACTGGGTCCTTGGTTCAGTAAATATAGTATCAAGATAAAAAAAAATCACATTTTATAATTCCAACACATTAGAATGCTAATAAATATTTGTTACTAATTTTGCAATTATTCTTTTATGTCTGCACAGAGCTCACATTTCACTTAGGTAAGTTTACATTAACACTTGACATCAATGCATGCACTCACTTTCTATTACTTGTTAACTGACGATATATCTAGTTCAAAGGGCCACGCGCGAAGAACTGGAAGTAGCGTTATGGATCCTAGAACAAGTTCTCGTTCTCCTCCCCGAGCTCATCCACAAACGATGGCAGTTGCATTCGCTTGGCCGTCTTCTCTCCAAAATTCTCCACGCCGGCAACACAGCCCGTTTGAGGAAACAGGCGATAAAATACTTTCTCATGTGGTACCAGGCCCTCAACGAAAATGCGCCCGACCATGTGCATCACATGTTTGCCTCTTTGGTCGCCGGTTTCATTCCGATTTCGGCGATTGGCGGTCAAACGACCAACAGTGTATTTCATGACACATCGTCACAATACCCAGTGACGCCTGGTGATGTTTTGCCCATCCTGCCTGCACAAACCAACGAAACAGATAATAAAGTTTACATGGAAACGCTGCTGGAGGGCATGGCCAGCACGGTGGTGAAACTAGAGTGGCATGATAAGGAGATGCACCAGCGACGCTCATTTCAGTTTTTATTGGAAAGGTTCCAAATACATTACCTACCTAAGTTGTGTCCGAATTTTTCGTATCAGACTTCTCTATACAAGCCTATACTTGATTTGCCGACGCGACGGAAAGCAGAAAGCGAAAATGAGTTTGTAGCATACAGGGTGATACTGATCAAGTGGGTTATTAATTACACACAGAAAAGAGGAGATGGTGGCAATACGCAGAGTAGTTTGCAACAAGTACAGGATGACGAAGGCAGTGAACAGTCAAGTTTAGATGGAAGTAAGCTATTATAACTTGTGAAATGTTCTGATTAAGATAAATTAATATTTCAGATATGTCTCTGCAATCAGTTAAAACAGCACCATCTGAGTACGAACAAGCGGCACAAATCGTACGCGATGTCCTCTGGTCTTCTCGTGATAATGTCAACTTTATCCATGAGTTATATCGGCAGGCATTTTTGCTTAATTTTGATCACATTGTCGCCATTCGCAAGACAATTGCCATGTACAAAGACATCATCCAGAAGTCTGGGTCTGACATGCCGCCTTATATGTTGGAGCCGGTGGCTGATGACGTAGCACGCAGTGATGATGGCGCGGATGCCATGCGTCCGCCACGATTACGCAACGATTCATACTTGGGTGCGATACACAAAGAAAATCTGCTGGTGCGCGCTGGTTTGCAGAATGTGCTGCAGTTGTTTATGACACACGCCGGCAATGTGTTTTTGCTGGAAGTCAATCCGCACTTGACCACCTCTCTCGAGGAGCAGACTGATGCGTGCAAGCGAGTACTGAATATTTACAGATACATGGTGATGCACACTGGCATGGACAGCGAGACCTGGGAGCAGTTGTTGGTGGTGTTACTGCAGGTGACGTCGCTGGTGCTTGGGGAAAACCCGCCGAATCCACCAAAGAAAAAAGTTAGTACACTGGGCGGGAAACTAGCGCCTGCAATATTCCAAACGTTGATTGTTACGTGGATCAAAGCCAATTTGAATGTGATGATTAGTCGGGAATTGTGGGATAGGTTTCTACATGTTTTGACGTCGTTGACAAACTGGGAGGAATTAATCACCGAATGGTCGAAGACTTTGGAGACATTAACAAGAGTTCTGGCGCGACAAGTGTACAACTTGGACTTGACTAACTTGCCATTGGATCGACTGTCTGAACAGAAGAGTAAACGCAGACCGAGGGTGACTAGCAAGACTGAAAACTGCAACCAAATGGTGTCGACAGAGTCGCATCCGCATCAGGTTGAAAGACAGGATTCTTCCGCGCCAGAGGAAACGGTAGTTGTAAAGGCATCCAAGCCTGGCTTGTCGCGCAGCTACAGCGAAACCAATTTGACCAAACGGCGCATGCCGCATCGGAGGGCACTCTCCTTGGATAATTTGCGGCAACAAATCGATACTGAATCGGTTGATCGAACACGAACGCCGAGCCCGGCACCGTCCAGCGGCCTAGAAAGTACTTCGATTAAAGACGCGCCGATACCACTGGATGTCCTAAGTGGTGATAATCACCCGCAGGATATCTCTGGTGAGAATCGTGGCGTAGTTTGCGGTGGGTCGGTGCGTGGCTGGTTGCCCGACGTTGCTGTTATTCTATGGCGGCGCATGCTTGGTGCTTTAGGCGACGTTAACGAAATCGCCGACCCGCACTTACATTCCCAGGTGTTCGAGTATTTGGTAAAATTGGTCGACACCTTAATAAAAATCAAAGCGAATCAAGGCGTCTCTACGGACAACGTGAGCACACCGTCCCCGCCCGAGCTGGTACCGCCGCTCACGTTAATCGTCCCTTGGTGCTTTGGAGCTTTAAACTTATCGTCCGCGTACGATTCGGGGAAAATCAACGCGTTGCGCTTGCTTTGTATTGTAACTATTAACTGTGATCCGCATCATCGAAGTTATCTGCCGCATTTCTACAGATCTTTGCATTTGGGTAAGGAAATTACTAAGTAAAACATTAAATAATGTATTGCTCACATCTGCTGTGTTATTGTGTTTACAGCTTTAAGCGGCACGTCCCGGCCTATTCTTAATGTAACACTGCGTTATTTAGGCCCTCGGTTTTTATCATTACAATTGCCAGGGTCTTCGTTATTGTTGCTTGATTTGGTGCATTCGTGCAGTTCCGTACTTAATTCGTCCGATCTCTCGGAAGCTACACCGAGATCCGAGGCGATCTCTATTTTGGGAGGGTTGCTGTCGATGACGGATAACTTAACTAAATTGTCTGTTCTACGACCTGAAAACAGTATCAATGTGTTGCCATGTCCAGATATCAAGGAGCACATTGTGGGTATAGTTTTGCGAACTGGTCGGCGGGAGCCTACTGGTATGGCGAGGTGTATTGCTTTAACCGTTTTGGGTCATTTTGTGTATCGCGAATTTACGAATGAATCATACAGTTCTCTAATATCTGATGCAATCAATGTTATTCTACAATCATTGAAAGTAAGAAATATTTTAACTGTTTATTGATTGAATTGAATTAATTGATTCTTTGTTTTATTATTGTAGTTAACGAACAAAGTCATCGCACAATTGGCAAGTAATACATTATATTTCCTCTGTGATCATGGCGTGCTCCTCTGGTTGCATTATCCACGCCTGGCGGATTCAATCATTCGGTCGTTGTGCCACGCTCTGTTTTTGCACACACCTTCGGGACCTACTGCGTCCGAAAATGAAAAATCTCTGAGTACATCGCTGCTACTTTGTTTGGGCGAGTGGTGCATGAAGCTCGGTCCGCAGCGTCTCTTGGTTGCCTCTGAATATGGTGAGAGTAAATCATGTCTGTTGCTGCTCGTATTTAGCGTCTTGCATCGTATGCTGCGCACCAAATCATCGGAGTACACCAATCTGTCTGGGTTGGTACCACAACAAAATCAGGATGATTTTGACTCCCACATATCGTTGGATAATTTGGCGCGCGGGTCTTCTGGCAACACTAAAACGCCCCAATATCGGCAGGCGATTATTCTTTGTGCCAGAACGGTATTATCGCATTTGGTAACCCATTTGGGACATTTTCCAATGGCGATTGGAGCCGCACGGCTTAGTTCACTTGTCGTAGAACATGACGACGTGCCCGATTTAAATTCCGACGAGTTATCGATGGATATCTTTGCCGCACCGAATATTCAGTTGTTTGTGTTGACGGCGAATGTAATCGCTAGTCTTGTGGAACTACCGGCGCTCGATTTGCCTGGCGGCGGCGTGACAGCTGGTTTGTCGACGGCTGATAAACAAGTCCGAGTTTTGCTGAGAGACTTATCTGGGAAAGCGAGTTGGGACGCAAGTATTTTATACAAAACGCCGGAAATGTACAAGAATTACAATCAACATCGCGAGAGCACTGCGAGTTGGAGTAGTACAAACTCGAGCAAATGGGGACCGATGAGTATCATGCAGCATGAGAGTTTGTGTCCAGTTAATATCGGACAAACCAACATTCAACAGCGCGCAATGCGACATAGAAATCCCAGCGTTTTGCCAAACACTGAAAATTCCGCACCGGACTTGGATCAGTTAGATGATGTAAGTATTGTGATTTCTTTTGAATTTCTCTTAGGTAAATATGAGTTGTTTATAGTTATTACAGTATTTGGGACATACAAGCCCAGAATGTTTAGAGAATGGGGACCATAGTTTAAATATCCCTGCAGTGTCACCACTTGACACTGACTTAGAAGCAGAAGCCATCGGCTCGGTCATAAGCGAGAGAAACATCGAAATCGAACAATCCCGAAGTATGCAGAATAGTAATGCGATGTTGGGCCATCCTGCTTGTCGACCTGAAAGCAGAGAGAGTGATCATCTCAGCCAGGAAGTCAACAGTCAGCAATCGGCATTCCAGCAGTGTCGCTTACTTTTCTCCCAGTTGGGATTGGCGGGCTGGGAACGCCGTAAACAACTGCATTTGTTGAATAAGAATGAACGACTTTTGAGAGAGCTGAAGAATTTGGACGGGCAGCGGTGTCGAGAAACGCACAAAGTCGCCGTCATTTATGTCGCTCCGGGTCAGGAAGATAAGAATTCGATTCTGTCGAACCAAGGCGGTAGCATTGCGTACGAGCAATTTTTGGCAGCGTTAGCATGGGAAGTGGAACTTGAAGCGCACACTGGTTTTCTCGGCGGCTTGCAGCGGCAGGGATCCACTGGTTTGACGGCACCGTACGTCGCCAGCAGCTTTATGGAGGCGATTTTCCATGTTGCAACACGGATGCCCGGTGATACGCCTGAAGCTGTTTTAAATAAGGTAAATATTTACTTGGGATTCTTAGATGCAGTTGTGTATGTGCGTTTGGGCTGGTTTTCAGACACGGCATCTGGGAAACGATGAGGTGCATGTAGTATGGTCGGAACATTCGCGAGATTATCGGCGGGATATAATCCCAACTGAATTCTGTGATATATTAATTAGTATATATCCGCTGGGTAATCATCTGAATCGGGTGACGATAAACTGCAAACCGGATGTACCGATGTTCGGTGTGCTGTTTGATGAGGCAATTATCGAGAACAGCATTTTGGCTGGTGTGGTGAGAGCGGCGATCATTTGCGCAAGTCGTGCCAAACGATCGACACTATCTTTCTATCAACAATAGTAAGTCCCAATTATCCCTATGCAAATACTAAATGTTTAGTAATGCAATTTATATTTATTTAATAGTTACGAGGAACGATCGAGATCTTTGGAGACAGTTGTTAATAAATACAGAAACGCTACAACTTACGAGGATCTGATCGCGAGGGTGTACATTCCGATGACGATGCCGAGTGCTTTCAACGTCGGCATTTCGTCTGTTATTGAAGGTGATGGTGCTGCGAGCGTCGGCAGCAATTCGTCCTCGACGGCTGCAGCGTGGCTTGATATCATGCACAATCCGCACAAAGCCGGATCGAAAGAGTATGCCAAATTTAGAGGTGGGCATTAGCGTTGCGAGGTAACGATGGATTGGTTTCTTGAACAATGTGTTTTCTTGTGTCAAGATGGGCGCGGCGTATGGTTCAACAACGTAGACGTCTCGCAGAATGTAGAATCAACGAGCATATCTCCAAGACCTCTCAAGAAGTTAACTAGTCTAAAGAACACTCCGCGGAGATCGCTTAGGTCCGAGACCACCGGCAGTGAAACGCCACCGCAGAGTCCAAATCAGTTTTCACGGAAGAAGTAACCGGTGTTTTGTTATATTCCTTGAGGTATTTGGTCTCTTTTTACTTATTGTTTAATTATTTAATTAATATTAATGAACATGCACTGCTAATAATTAAGAGATATTGCTATATCACAGTATTTATTCCTTATATAAATAAAATATTAAATTAAACTAACTTAATTATCACAGAATCGCATTTTTTATAGTTTTGTCGCATTTTGATGAATATATTTTAATAATTGACAAATATTACAGTGTTTTATCGATGATGAATCAGCTTTTCATTATGTACATATTTATTAATTTATTTTTGTAATTAACTTGGTATTAAATATTAATTGATCAATTTGAGTGCAATCTCAGAGATTGGTCGAAATTAGATTTTCAGCAGAAACTAATTTAAATTCATGCACACATGGTGGTTCTATGTATGTCTTCTTTTTTTTGTACGCAAGTAGCTTCAACTGTTGAAAATTTTGAGTTTTCAATGTGCCACCGCTGCCTTGTAATATGAATTTTATGTAAAATTCAGCGGTGCCCAGCGATACGAGCACATCGCATGCACATCGGGCAATATTGGATATGCGTCGAATGAGAGAACTTTACATCGGATTTTACTATTCAGAGACGCGCCAGATCTTGAGGACTGAAACCAGAGTTGGGAGTTAGAATTAGAATCGGTGCTCCTTTGGCGCGGCGCGACGACGGAAAGGATAAGAATTTTCAAGAATCCGATTTGTGCGCACTCACACACACACACCGACGCGCGCGCGTCCGATGAAACCGGCGAGGAGAGCTGCTTGTCGGGTTTAGCAGGAAGGGGAAATGATCCCAAGGAATACTCGCTGTAATAGAATCAAAACATTTCAATGGCTCGACGGCTACTCGTTGCTATTACGCGTCGTTGTGCGGCGCATCACTGCCGAAAATTAAACCGAGCGCAAAAGCATGTAGAACGATTTTTAATCTTTTACGGCCGAAACTCTATTAGACGTAAACAGGATGAGTTCATTCCGCTCTCGGATGCCTAGTGTCCACTTATTCGGGCGCTGATTTCCACCCGGACGAGTTTATTCAAAAATTAAATTATAATAAAAACGTATGCGAAATAAAGTATGAAATTTATGTTCATATTTACCACAATGCCGTACAAATCTCTCGGGACATTTGTATCGTATTTCATCTTGTACATGCAAAAAATCAAAACAAATTTTATTTAATTCCAGTAGATAAGCAGGAAACAGGACGTAGCTACCATATATCACGAATTAGCACTGAAATGTTGGTAATTAAATATAAAACATTAGAAAGGGCTCTAAAATATCTTCCAAAATTTTTAAAAAATTACATTCCTTTTGAAAAACAGGTTCGCATTTATTTAATAGTATATTAAGTATCACGTAGCTAAAAGGGGACTTTTGCCACGAGATTGATTAACATCGAGCGTTCAATCAGTCGAGTGTTTAACAACGTTTAGCCACGTGATGCTTACGGTATTTTTTTCTACATCCATTCTATTTTCACGTTGAGATTTTTCTATTTGAACTTTTGTATTTTCAATCTTCCAATCTTCGCTTGCACACTACTGGGAAATGTAAGGCTATAAACGCCGTACCGCGCGTCAGGCCACGCCGCGTCGCGTAGACACGAGCAGCAGTTTGATTTGTTTGATTGACGGCGCATGGCATTTCATATGGGCTTGTGCTGTTCCATAGGCAAATGCGCAGGCGCAAGCTCCAACCTGTGACTAATGGACTTGGTGTTCCGTGTTTAAAGTATAGACCGACCGAAATTTCGGTTTCAGTTTCGGCAACTTTCGGCCAAGAACTCTAGTTTCTGCTGCAGTTTCGGTTTCGGTCAAAAATTGGACGAAACTTTCGGCCGCACCAAACCTCAGTGTTCGTGAAATTTATTATAGTTTTATTTTGAAGTGACACATGATAGCGGTTTGAGGAAATCCTCCACCAAACATATGTTCTAAAAATTCCCAAAACCAAAAATGTCTAATCTATCTTCAATTACTTCACTTTACTGCTTAATACTGTTGTAAATAATTTTATTGCACCATAGAAACTTAAATTAAATATGTTTATGTCCAGTTTCGGTTTCGGCTGAGAAACCAGTTTCGGTCGGACTCTAGTTTAAAGTACATACTACTTTTTGTGTCTCAAAACCGTAGAAAAACGGGCCCTTTAAGAGTGGAAGTAAATAAATCCACCCGACACCACCAATCATAAACCCACTGAAAAGGAAGGACTTCAGATCTTTGTTTATTGAAGGGTTCTCTACAAAATGGCGCATTTTTGGTCAAGCGACCAAATTTGGTAAAAATAAATAAAGAAAAGATTTCGATGTAACATTTTTTTTAAATAAAAAATTTAAATTTAAATTTAAAATTCACAGTTTTGTTTGCAGATTTGCAATTATACATTAAAATTATTAATCAATTAATCTCTAATACTGAAGAATGTAAGAAATTAACACAAATTTAACAAAAACGCTTCTCATTTTAATTGGTGGTTGTATTGATTATTAAAAACAAATAGTACCACTGCGTAGAACGACGCTTAATTACCATATTTAAATAACTTTTGACTTGCTATCATTAATAGTTTATTCTGTGGATGCCTGTGATTAATTATCTCAGAACTAATCAATATAAACAAGAATGGAAAACACTCTGATAATCAGCATCAAATTCTTCATAAAATAATATTTAAAACATTTTAAATCCATTATGTGCCTGAAAAGTCTTTTGGCACAATTTTCTTTGAAAAGTAATAATGTTAGAAAAGATTTTTTTGTCATTTTGTTCATGTCTGAATCTAAAAAGAGAGATTTTTGAAGAATTTTTCTTTGTAATATTTTGTAATCATATTGATTCTTTGGGTAGTAATCAGAAAATACACAATCGATAGTTTTTCAAGGAGATATAGGAACTGACTAAATGACCGCAACTCAAAATTCCATCATACTTTCCAAACTAATGTACAACACCTTTACTTGATAAAGCTATAACATATTAAATAAACACATGTATTTGACTTTTATTAACAAAATCGTTCAGTAGTAAATTATTTACAAAAATAGGTTTGTATTTGAATCTCCGTCACAATTAAAAACACGAATGTAATATTAAATGGTAGGTCACGTCTATTTCAATTGTCATTTTATTTGTTTTTATTTCATAAATCTCCGAAGTTGCATCTTTAATTTAAAATGATTTAAAATGTTGTATTAATTTGCATTTACCTTTCACGACTCATAATAGATAATTTATTAAAGTATACAATGTATATGCCAAGTAGTATATTTCTACTGAATTCATATAAACTATAATTAATTAATTGGTTATATAATCTGCAGTGAGTCCAAATCACGCGAAATAAGTCTCTATTTTTTGTCTGTGTTAGTTTGTCAAATAAATCAAGTTCAAGTTCAAATAAAATTCTTAACATGCAACTTCCACTTGAATTAAAATGTATAAATACACGTCCGTTTGTAAAATAACATCAAAACCAAGTGGAATGCTTCCAAGGCAACATTAAGTTAATATTCATTTTAAATAGTTTAAAAGATGAATAAACGTTTGGTATGTGATAATCTTCAACTAATATTAGTGATGTTTATTAATTATATTCTTTCTAGGTATTGTTTGTGGTTCTCGTTGTGATTGTTTTTGTTAAGGCTAAGCCACACGATGAAGATGATGACTACAAATATAGATCAAGGCATCGGCCGGGAAAACGACCATCATCAAATGAAAATCAGGAAGGACCTTGTACAGGTTTTTGTGGTGCGGGCAATAACGCAGGTTCACTTGGAAATGGAGCTGGTGCAGGCACTGGTTTTGGAAATACTGGCTCGCTAGGAAATGGAAATGGTGCTGGTCCAGGATTAGGTAGCGGTGGCGGTGGTCCACTTGAAACACTCACTGGGGCAGGACCGGGATGGGGAGCTACCAGTACGACCACTCCACGTAGCAGTTGGTGGTCATGGTTTGGTTAAAAGTATAATATTGAGAATGATTATTGGTGGAATATTTTGTTTATTTAATAAATAATATTCTAGTACCAATAAAAATATATGTTTATATATTTACTAAATTATTTTTGCATTATTTGGCGCCCTAAACAGTTTATTAAACAAAAAATTAATCTGTCTTCTGTTTACTCACCTCAACAATAAACACAACATTTTTCCATGAAATTGTGTCCCACATTTTTTGTTCAATCAAAAACCAAAATTAATTTTAATAATGGCAATGAAACAAACTTGTTTTCTGTGTTGTTATTTTGTAAAAATAATATGTTCGCATATTCGTCTCGTTCGGACAAGGTGACTAATTATATACAAATTTAATTGTGACCGCCTGTTTTTGTTATAAACGAAATGGTAACTTGCGTCAATAACCACTTAAAGCTACAAAATGAATCAATATATAACTCAATCGCATTTTTTAAGATCAATTTTTGGTATGAATTTTTTTAAATTATGAATTTTAATATTATCGCAGATGTTTTACATCTATCGAGCGTCCCGTGACGCCCAACTTAAAAAAATTTAATCATTACGTTTTGTTTGCTCTCGTCCTGGTTGCGACAATAGAGTTGGCTAATACTCATTCTAAAAATTTTAATGAGGATTTTGAGTACTCTGAGAGTTTACTGAGCTAAAAGAGTATTCATAGTGTATAAGGTCTCTTCAACCACAATGTAACAACATCAAAAAAATTGAATTCATTTTACTATTTCGCGAGCAACAAGGTGTTTTTTACTGTATGTTTAACCAGTTTAAAAAATCCTACATTTTTGAAATCAATTTTGGATACTTCCTGTGGGTTAAGACGGTAAAATAAGATAAAAAGTGTGAGGATCTCTTAAGGTACAATATTACGCAAAAACATGATGGTTGAAATACAAATTTATTTCACAACAAGAAAAAACAAAAAAAGTTTTAGAGCACTTTCACTTAAGGATTTGAAGTAAGTTTTATTCTCACTTCTTTTCCTACCAAAAAAATGAATCTTTTAAACAATGCATGGAAAATTTCATAGTCTTTAATAAATTTCCATGAATGATGGACCCGTAGTCGTAACTTCAAATACATTAACTTTCCTCTTGCGTAGAAATGCACACTGAAGTTGAACACTAATAAACATATGTTCATTGTCGCCCCTCAGTTACTTTCGCCGGCGTGCGCTTTGTTTGTCATGCAATATAAATCTTTATAGCCCGCAGGCCTATGCCACTGATGCTCATGTCCCCGGCGAGCATCTTATACATATATTTAATGCGGCTTTTGTTCTACATCGCTCCACACCTTAGTTTCGTCGAGTGGCGGCAGGGCACATACGCAACATAGAAAAACGTATAAAACTGGTGAAAAATGTGCGCGTTGGATGTGCGCCATTCGGCATGTCGGTTGCGGGTCGGCGCTAAATAAGCACGAATCCCATATTTTCGTATTCGCGTTGTACATATTGCTTCGGTGGTGGAGGCGCGGGCAACACGAAGATAGTGCAGATAAACGTTCGGCTGTAACTTTCCTTCTCGGAGATAAAGAGGGCCACTTTACATTAATTGATTACTCAATGTATATCTTCTGAACGCAGCACCGCCAGTTACTTCCACTTACGGCGTAGTGTCGTGTGCGTCTTGTTTTTGAACGAAGATTTTATGAGGAGATATTTTAACGCTGGCATCTTATAGATCGTTATGGAAGTCGGTCGACAGTTGGTCGTTCCTCGTGTAAGCATTTCGTCTCCGTGGCAGCTGTGTGTATGTGCGTAGCGACGTAGTTATTTTTTTCTTGTTTCGTTTTTTTGCGACCAGAATGTCATATAATAAATCACGGCGTAATCACTTATGAGCAGGCTGCGTTGTCGAGTTAAGCGATTGGTGGTAAAAATTTTTGGCATGAAAATTGTCATTTATTCCAAAGTCGATCATCCACTTCGTTGTGAAGAGGCCAATCGATGATGACAAGTAATAAAATCGAAGACTCCCATCATGCAACTATAAGAAAACCTTGACGAAATATTAATAGCAAACAATCATTACGCGCACATGTTCAATTTTGTTTCGTTTGCTTACATTAGGTGCCTTTGTCCGTCGTAAGCACGTCTCGCCGTTGGGAACAAAAAGCATTTGCATAAATGTCACGTTAAGTGAACAATAGTTTTATTTTAGCTTTCATATGGAAATTAAAGCAGTTGCGTAATAAACGTTTAGAGATGTGCATTATATGCGCATATGAGTAGGTACTTTTGAATACGAAATTGCAAAACATGTATTTCCTGTGTTTGCTGTCTTGAACATGAGATTCAGTCTGTTCTTAACCACAAACTTATTTAAATCTTATTGTGCAACAGAATTAACTAAGGACAATGCAAATTTATGTATTAACAAGTTTTTTTTTAAATTTTATTCTGATAGAAGCAAGGCGTAAATTTGATTTTTCAACTTCCCCAGAAAATGTTATACAATTTAAAGGGTTATAAATGGTGCGATTTGTTTATGCTGCGGTTCTATTCTAACGGAAGAATGAGTTACCATTCTTCTGGTACCTGCCACTACGCCGAAAAAAAGTACGTTTTAGAATGAGTAAAAACAGTATGTTGATGAATGTGTTGTTCATATTATTGAAGAACTGTTTTTAGAGAAACGTCGCATCAATAATTGATGATCAATTGTAAGCACCTTAAATATGCACAAAGTAGAAAAGATGAACCTCGCGTATAATACAAAAGTATTATAGGGGGGGGCAAAGTGGGCCCCTGGGGGCAAAATGGCCCCCTGAAATTCAGGAGGCTTAAAAAATTGAGAGGCAAAGTGGGCCAACAAAATAATATAAGCAAAAAATTGATACAAAGGTAATTGCAAAATTTTTATGGGAGGGGGCCCACTTTGCCCCATATTCTGATTTTTTTAAATTTTGAAAGACACGGCGTATTAATATTGAATACTGAACAAGGATGTAAAAAATAGTGTAACAAGTGAAAAAAGGTAAACAAATCCCACTTTGCCCTCCCTCCCAACCCTACGGTTAGATGCAGAACTTTCGTGAATATATTCTTTTATATATTTAATTTAAAATTAATTATTTTATTTATCCTTACAATGGTAACAGCTGCCTTAAATACAGGGTCAAAATGTAGTCATTTTAAATGAATGTAATTAATTGCACTCATTTTATAATCTAATGACTATGATGATGATATTAATGATATAAGATTAAGCTATCTCGGGCATTCCCAAATACTTAATTATTCGTCTTCTTGAGGCCTGAGAATAGAAATAGACAATTTTATTGTTTCCGCTTCATAATTCTTGATGAAATGGATAATTAGCTTCATTATATGTTCACATCCATTTAACTTTTATGATTTTGATTCATAAAATATCATTCTTTCGAAAGAAATAACTTTTTTTTTGCAAAACGTATTATTATCGCCAGTTTTCAGGCCTAAATAGAACCCAAAGGCTATTCCCTATTCGAACCTCTTAGGTTTTCCGATGATATTTCCTGATAGGCGCTTTCATTGTTCGGAGCAATTTCTGCCGCAAGCGTCGCGCGTAAAACTTAATTAGCTGGCATGCCAGGCGCGCCCAAAGAGCGGCGCGCTTTACGAGCGGAAGTCATTCTTCATCTTCTGGGAAAAGTGCAACCTTCTTTTTGTCCCCATCCCACCTCATGCGGCGTTACCACTGTGACACTTTGCACAATTAGTAGCTTCGATTTTAATCGCACGACAAAAGGACGCTCGGAAAACGCAGGAGAGCGTTTTTCTGACGTTGGCGTCCGTGCGGATTCTTTTATTTGTCGCTGTTTCACGATGTCACGCGAATGTGTCCGACGTTTCCAAATGTCAGCAAAAACGTTCCGTGCGACGCGTGAAATCTCGCTAAGAAAATGAGTTATGAACATTTGTTTTGCGCTTGTTTTTCATACTATTTTTCATCTTTCGCGACGAAAATGCACTTGAAAATGCACTGGATTAATTGCATAATAATTTCTCGGCGCGGATGGAATAATGCAAATGAAGTTGGAGAATAGATTTACACTCATGTTTAATTCCGCACGGTTTTGCATCCATCGCGGGCTGCGTCCTGCGGTATTCTTCCTGCGGCGTGTATGTTGTGCAGATCGTCCTTGCGTTGACGCTGGTCGCCTCTCGGTTTTGTAATATTCCTTCGGTTGCGATGATCCCCGGGTGCGGTGGTGTGCTTTTAGCTCAAGCGGCAAATTTAATTTCACATGTTCGTATGGGTACTGCAGGAAAACCGAGTGTGTCAAAAACATAACAATATCTAAAGCAACTCAAAACAACTCCGAATGTAGTTTTAACGAAAACAGGTAATATCGACCTAATATACAATGCTTATTCTCAACATTAATTAGGAATTGTCACGTGAATAATGAAATATCACATTTCAACATTGTTTGATGTTTTGTTAGTGTGCTCTTGTAAAGTTGTAAATATCATATTCCCGGCAATACTTTACGTGACCGCAGGTTGTCAAAGTTAGGCTGTAAACAGGTTGAAGGGTTGTCACAACTAAGTCTAACTTTAAGGATAATAGAAAGTTGCGTGGGTTTCGGCGTAAAATCTTCTGATTGTACCGAAACCACAAAATTAATTATACAAAGACTTGTTAACACAATTTGTGGTCAGTTTCGATTAATTTTAAACAAAAACAAAAATTTCAAAGAAATTTTAAACTTTTGACTAATAATAAACAATATACAGTATGTTTCACTGTCTTTCCTAAAATATTTCACTTAGAATTTGTTTTCACATAAAAGGGAGTGACATTTATATAATCAGTGTCAATTAAATGTGAAACTTTAACCAAAATGATGTAATTTTTGCTGTGATAGGCATAACTCCAGGATTTAATTAGCATACACGATTTGCACGTGCGAATTCAACGAAGACCTGCAAGTGCAGAAGCTTAAGCTCACAATCGACTAATTATTCTGACTTTCGTGCAGATACCAGCAGGAGTTAATAGGAGTGAAGTGCAATTTATAAAATTTTATTTGATACAATGTAATTAATTAAATATGGTGCGTAAACTTTCCCTGAACTGATTTTCTACTA